ACATGGATGAAAACATGATCCAATATTATAGTTAATAGCGAGAGCCCGTGCATACTGCACGAATGCTTTTTTCCTTTAAAGTTTCACATCTGTCCTTTAGCTTTGATTCGGTAATAGACAATCAGACAGTTCGCATGATATATATAGAGAGAGACCGAAGGGGAAAAAAGCGAGACTTCATCTACTTCAAAAAAAATTTGAAGTACGATTGAAGTACAGTGAAGTACAAGTGAAGTACTGTGAAGTACAGTGAAGTACGGTGAAGTATGAAGTCTCGCTTTTTCCTTCTTGCTATCATCCCATAAAAAAAGAAAATTTCCTCAAGTCTTCTATAAGAAAATGAGGTACCGCCACCACTACTTTTGAGTGCCCCTAAGTATTACTTATCAAATAATTTAAAAATGTGCCAAGATAAGATACGGTTAAAATTTCGTATTAATTTTACGAGATTTTTCGAGGGATGTCATAATAGCCGGAACTCGGGTATCGACATTTTAAAATATTGATATATTCTTAAAAAGTTGAGAATTTTGAGTGCTTGTGGTGTAACGAGATGGATAATCAAAATTTTCAGTGCATATCCCTAAAACTTGAGGAATTTGAGTGCTTTTGGTGTAACGAGATGGATATCTGAAATTGTTATTGCATACCCCTAAAACTTGAAAATTTTGATTGCTTTTGGTGCAATGAGATGGATACCCAAAACGTATAGTGCATATCCATAAAACTTGAGAATTTTAAGTGCTTTTGGTGTAACGAGATGGATATTCAAAACTTTTAGCGCATATCCCTAAAACTTGAGGAATTTGAGTGCTTTTGGTGTAACGACATCGATATTCTAAATTCTCAGTGCATGCCCATAAAACTTGAGGAGTTCGAGTGCTTTTGGTGTAACGAGATGGATATGGGTATGGGTGTAGGTTTGGATATATGGAAGATTAGCACCCACACCCACACCCACACACCCATACACACCCACACCCACACCCACCCACACCTGCACCCACACCCACTCACACCCACACCGACACCCGACCCACACCCACCCGCACCCACACCCACCCACATCCCACACCCGCACCCACACACCCACACCCCACACCCACACCCTTTTGGATATCCATCTCGTTACACCAAAAGCACTCAAATTCCTCAAGTTTTATGGATATGCACTAAAAGTTTTGGGTATTCATCTCGTTGCACCAAAAGCACTCAAAATTCTCAAGTTGTAGGGGTATCCACTAAAAATTTTGGATATCCATCTCATTACACCAAAAGCACTCAACTTCCTCAAGTTTTAGAGTAAGCACTAAAAATTGTGGGTATCCATTTCCTTAGATATCTTGACGTGTAGCTTGTCGTTACCCAGCTTATGGATATTATGACATCTCTGGATTTTTCTTTTCTTGTCACTTACTTTTTTATTTGTGCACGTTTACTTCTTTAAATTTTTAAATTTTTCATTTGATTTTCCGATGACAAGAAGAAATAATAACTACAGTTAAGACCTACCTTAATTTTACTTTTTTTTTGGTAACCAAGGAAATACTAACTACAGCTACTTGTACATTTTCATAATTCACGGTACTTCAACAAGAACCACTTATCCACCAGCTACAATAGATAAACGATTAACCTTCACTTCATTATGTGGAATCAATCCCCCGATAATGACATATCTAGTGATCTGTCTACTTTGGTTGACGATTTGATCCATTTAGATCTTCAGAAATCATCTTTGTGTTCTACCACCACCACCATCACTTCTCCTACCACATCTGTTGCATCATCAGCAGAAGTTGAAGTTGATGAAGCTACCACTCTTCTTAATTCCATCTCATAATATTTCTTCGTAAAACCAACAAAGTATGGTGGTCGTGGTTGTTTTGCCAATAGTGATCTTGCTCAAGGTACAATTGTTCATGCATGTTCTATACCACTTAGTTCAACTATTGCTCGACCTTTTAGAAAAGAAGTTTGTGGGTATTGTTTCAAATTTTTACACGGTAAAACTTTAAAATTTAAATTGATGTCACGAAAGAATAAGCAAAATAATTTTATGCCTGCTTCTGCATCTGATTCTTCACTAGCACTTTATTTCTGTTCCCAACTTTGTATGGACAAGTTTATTGCTTTGAATATAGATGGTTTATACCTGGAAAGTTTATTGAATTGGAAAGTCTTTTCATTAAAGGATTGAATCAATGTCAACATGATCTTGAAAGGAAGAAACAACAAGAAGAAGCGGAAACAGAAGCTGAATTAAAATTAGAAAATGAATTAAAACAAGTAAAGATATTGAATTATTCATCTCTCAGAAGTGGCAAGAAGCTGAAATTGTCAATTACAATTATCTAAATTAAAACCAAAACAAAGAAAAAACTTTAATAATTTGATTTATTTAATTCCTAAAGTTAATGAAAATGAATATATGGAAATTAAATATATTATTGGAATACTATTTCAAATGTATAAACGTGATAATTATGAAAACAGTAAGTTATCATCATCAGTATCCTTATCCTCATTGGAACTTGAAATTTTTCAACTTCTTCAATCAAATGATATTGAAAAAATTTGTAAATATCCTTATTTACTTCATTCTTATACTAATAAAATTTATAAATTCTTAAAAATTTCCACATTGGAAAAACTTCAACCATATATTATTCCATCTATAATTCGTTCAATCCTTGGTAAAAATTTAACTAATGTTTATGGAATTTGGTCAATTGATGATGAACCAGATGGAAATAAAGAATTATTTGGATATTCGTTATATCCATCAGCTTCATTTTTTAATCATTCATGTAATCCAAATTTAATTAATATTGAAAAGGGAGCAAAAATTATTTTTAAACTTTTAAAAAATATTAAAAAAAATGAAGAATTATGTATAAATTATGGTAATTCTATTAATGATGATTTAGAAATAAGACAAAAACTTTTAAAAAAATGGTTTTTCGATTGTTTATGTGAACGATGTGTTGAAGAAATGAATTTAAAAAATGCAAAAAAATAAAGAAAAAAAAAACTGTATTACATTGTTTATCTAGGACATCAATTTTCATTATATACTTCTAAATAATAAGTACACTTGTGAGATATTTTCTTCATTGTTATTTATTTTATTCTATGGTAAAATCATAATCTTTATTAAAAAAAAAAGTTTAAAATTTTCATAATCTTTCATTTCTTTAGCTTTTGGTTAATGACATTTTTTCCAATACGTTCTTTTAGGGCATTTTAATACATAGGCTAAAACTCTACAACAAAATTGTAAATCAACATTTTTAGTTTCATCTTTAAGTTGGACAATATAAATAACTTTATTATTTCCATTTAATGCTTTTGTAAATTAATTTTCACCATTTCCATCATGCTTTAATAATTTAGATGGTATTGGTAACAGTTGAACATGATGATGAATATTATTAACTTGATTAATTTCAAAAAATATAAGTTTATAAATTGTTTTTTTTTTATAGCACATGCTTTACAAGTATACGCTTAAAACTTTCAATTTCTTTATAACGTGATGAATCTTTAATATCATCACTCCCATCACTATGGAGGGATTTCAATTTATTTTTACGGATGGTTGGGATATGTTCAATAGGGATTATGATTGCATATCGTGAAAATAGAAGGTCTTTACATGATCTTGTAAGTGGCCCTTTTACAATAGTAAGATAAGCATCAGTTCCAATGAATATAATCAAATGAGTTTCAACTTTGGAATTGGTAAACAAAAGAAACAATTCTCCGGTGTAACTTCAATTTTGGGTTTTTTTAGGTATTGTAGATGCAGATATAGGTTTTCAATTTCATTAAATGATCGTTTATTAGTATTTTTAACTTCTAATTTTGTGTGAAATGGATTTTCAACAAATTCAACCTTACTTATGTTTGGTTGTGAATCATTCTTTTTTTGAGGAATTATTCCAAATGCATAAAACCATCTATCTTCACTTCCTTCTTGTTCTAAACTTATAAATCCAGTGATTTTATTGGCATTGTTGTTGCTCTTGCTGCTGCTGCTATTATCATTTTTATCATCATCCTATTTGAATGCCTTATTTTCAAAGAATCGATCGAGAGTGAGAACAGCTACCATAATTTAGATTTCACTTCAGCTACGAAGTTCATCAGTCGGTCAGATGTGTAGTTAGAGATTTTATAATATCTAGAATGGGAAAAAATAAGAATGAATGATGATTTGAAATAATGGAAAAGTACAATTGATAGTGTTTAATTTTTTCTTGCTCGAGTCTAATTTACAGTAGCAACTGAAGAAAACATCAGAGAAATAGAAGGTCATATGCAAATATTTCTCGATGAGGTTTTGTATTTCTACGTGTTGTGCTTTGTTGATGATCATAAGAATTAATTTTATTTTGGTTGATTAGTTGGAAGTGGAAGACTTGATCTCTTACTCTTTTTCGTTTCTTGTTCTGTGTAATGAAATATCATAAGAAAGGAATTTAGTCGCATTGTATGATATTAGTTTTTGTATTTTTGGCGAAGAGGGTGTGGATGTGACTAATAGTATGATCAACACGACACCCCACCCCCTCACACCCACACCCACATTCACACACCCCACACCCACACTCACCCACATCACCCACACCAACCCACACCCACACCCACACACCCAAACCCACACCCAGAAAAGAAATTACTGTCGTGGTTTTTTCTTGAACTAACTTTGCATTCTAGTGTGACTAGTGTGAATGGAATTCTATACATGAAAGTTAATCTGAATCTTGATACAGAAATGAATTTTATTTCGTTTCCTTTATAAGGAAAAACCTGGTCACTAGATCGTTTGGTTAATCAAACAATTTTCTGTCTGTCAAAATTTCTATCATTTTTCTGTACAAAAAAAATATATGCTTGTGATGATTTATTTCTAGATTAGAATAGAGATTGAATTTTTAAAACCAATAATTGTTCACGAAAGTCAAAGATTATTTTCCATTAAAATTACGTTATTTTTTCTAATATTAATAGGTTAAATCATGATCGTGAGAACAATGCCTTCTGCCATTGCAATCACAAAGAAAATTATATGTTTAATAATGCTGCGTGGAAAATAAGTATATGTTCGAACGTAATATTCTTTGTAGTACATAACTTGGATTTCGTTCACTTGATTTTGAACATTTTGAAGACCGGCAACAACATCTTCTTGTTCACTTGCTAAAGCTTGAGTTTGTGTCACAAATGTATGAATAGGAATCGTAACGTACATATTAATTTTCGAAATGCTATTATCATGAATCATACGTCGATTAAATAAGCTACCATTTCGTTTGAAAATGACAATATTATAGATCGAAATGATAATATAGAAGAGACATATGAAAATGTTTAAAGCAAGAAAGGGCTTCCATTTTGAACTATTCTCTATTAACGGTTTCAGTATCGAACTTATTCCACCGGCACCAAGAGCAATTAACCAGGCAAGAACAATAACTGATCGATACAGAAGAAAATGTCCGCCACGCATTTCCTTTTTCTTTGGATTATTGGCATCAGCATTCGCACGGTATTGCTTGACTGCAAAATTGTAACGAGCCGGATACGTATTACGAATTTGAACTGATATTCCAGTGTCACGTGAAGGACCTGCCACAGTTTGAACATTGGTTGACTTAATGTAAGAATTTCCTTCGCCGTCTTGCGCTAAAATAGTTTGTTGATAGCCAAGACCAGTATTTGTAGTGGCTCCTAGCGGATAAACAGTGCTAAGACGTGATCGATCAAAAAGAGTTAGAGCGTTTGAAGAACTCATCTAATAATATCAGATATTCTCGTTTTTTGTGTGCCTCTGTTTTTAAAGTAGCTTTCTCACGAAAATCGAGTTGGAAAAAGCCGAATTGTTGAAATTGTTTGATTGCATGCAAAATAAGATAACAAACTCAATAAATACTTCACTCATGATTTATTATTGTTATTCTGTAATCATAAAATAAAAATCTTGTAAGACATTGATTATTGCTATGTTTTCTTTTTTTCTTATCATCGTAAGTAGCAATTGTTTTTAAGAATTCATCCCTTTTTTTCTTTTACGTGGTTACTTGAGTATCATTTTTTAAAATCCATATAGCTAGATGGATATTTGCAATACTCAAATCGTTTAAATCTGTCTAAGATTACTGAAAATCATGTACATTCTTTTCGTATATATATCTAAGTTCAGATGCGTTTCTGGAGACCAAACGATATCTAAGCTCCTCTTCTCTGTGAAAATGTTCAAGTACATTAAAAAATTGAGATTTAAGATAAATGTATAATTGACTATTCGGAAGAGTGGCATTTCAGAACAAAATAGGTTTCTTCTTTCGGAAAAGTCGAATCTCGCCACTAAAAAGAGAGTTCGTTTTCGAATAAAGCTTGATTATTTTCATACTCAAAAAAACATTGTTGTGATTGCAGTGCCCATTTTTCGATTAATATACGAGAATTTCTAGAAATTAAATGAGCTACTTTATGACTCTTATTTGAAGATTGTCTTCCTCAAACGTTGTGGCATAGAGCTGCAAATGGTACTATAGTCTTCACATTAAATTCTCAATAAATCCTGCAAATTTTATGCGATTTCACCCCGTCTGAAATCGATTTTTGACGGAGAAAGAACTTTACCGCTGGCTCCTTTTCATACGAAAAGGTTTAAAACGAAACTATCTTGGAAACGACAACCTTAGCAAGTTTCATGAAGTTTTCAAAATATCCAGAAGATTTATTTGAAGGAAAACATTGTTCATCGAGCAGATTAACAAGAAAACATTCGCACTGTTATTAGTTACACAAAGGCCTCAATATCGTATCATTTTTATCATTTCCAAGTTGCATTTGTTTTGTATATAAGAAAACTTCACGTTAAATAGATCTTATATGAGTTAGAAGAAAATGATTGTGTGCTAAATACGAAGATTATGCACTATGAGTATTACAGCTCTTCCTAGTCGCATACCATTATTAAATTTGGAGTTGGCTTTTTCCAAGTGCACATATACAGGTGTATCGTTGAGTTGTAGTCGATTGCTAAATAAAGTATACGAGTTTTATCAGTAATTCAAGAGACTGTAATTACATCCTAGACGAAACTCATAAATCTTCAAAGAATAAAGAATATATATTCATAAAAACTTCACAACTTTATGAACAATATATAATCTCAATGCGATTATTTCGAGGCCGTAAAGAAATAGAGTTTGTTGTCTATTCTTGAAAGATTGAAGACTAATGAGTGAGAATGATCTTTCGATGTTAATTGAAACTGCATTCTGAAAAATTGATCTGAGAATAGTTCTAATTTGATGATGATTAGCTTTGTCTATAATTATAGTTTGCTCTTATCTTGGAATTAATTCGAATACGTGCGCCATATTATATTGAGCCAGATCATCTTTCGTAATGATACTCACTAAAAGCAAAGTCGAATTTCAAACCCTCATATCCGCTAATCGACTCGTTTAGAAAATTTTTTCACTATCATTTTCAGCTGTCATTCGTAAGGATGTGGGTGAGTGTGGGGTGTGGGTGTCCGTGGCGGTGTGGGTGGGGTGTGAGTGGATGTGGGTGGGGTGTGAGTGGATGTGGGTGGGGTGTGAGTGGATGTGGGTGTGGGTATTGGTGTCAGTGTGCAACTCGGGTCGGGTCAGACCTCGGGTCGGGACGGGTCGGGTCAAATATGTATTTTTCAGAAACAAAAATCATGTTAGTTTTTTGTTCATAAGTTCTGTGGTCTCACAAAAAACAATTAGATATAACAAAGCAGCATGTATGATATCATCTTTTGTGTTATTTCATTATTTTCCATTCATTGATATCTTAAGAGCATTTATAGTAAGCATAAAATATATTATCTAGCAATGTGATAGTCTTAAATTCTGTACATGATATAAATGAAAGCAGAAAAACACTGAAGTATTATCAGATGATTTTGTTACCCTAACTACGCAATATCAGTGGTACATATAAACCGAGAAAAAGGTCATGGACATGTCCTTATTTTTTTAAATATGCAATAAAATAAAAACAAAGGAACTGGCAAATTAGATTTCTCAAAATCAAGAAATGCGATCGACTGATAGATATATATATGTTGTGGTCAAAATTAAAATTCAGTCAAATTTTAAATTTGCCTAGACAAAATTCAAATTTTAATTTTGCCTAACATTATATTGGTCAAAATTCAAATTTTAATTTTGCCCAGACAAAATTAAAATGCTGTTATAGTAAATATAGGAAAATAAAATGTTTGTACCTCGACGGTGTGGGTGTGGGCGTAGGTGTGGATGGGTGTGGTGTGTGGGTGTGAGTGTGGGTGCGGGTGTGGGGTGTGGGTGTGGGTGGTTGTGGGTTTGGGTGTGGGTGTGAGTGTGAGTGTGGTTCAGCTGAAGACTTACATGGACACCCACACCCACCCACACCCACCCACACCCACCCACACCCACCCACACCCACACCCCCAGCCACCCACACCCCCACACTTAGGGATGCAACGGTGACGGTGGTCACCGGTGTGATCGGTCTACGGTTCACCGTTCACCGGTCTCACCGGTCCGCCGGTTCACCGTTCACCGGTTTCACCGGTCCACCGGTGCACCGTACCAACCGGTGCTACCGGTGGACCGGTCACCGCAGTAGCGGTGCACCGTTCACCGTTCCACCGGTATACGAACACCGTAAGCACCGTTCATAATATACTACAAATGAAGCTACTCAGTTTCAACTGAGTCCAATTAAAAGTGAAGCTGGCCATCTCATAATCGAGAAGTGCACATATATTTGATATTCGTCTACTTTCTGTAATTTATCGGCATACTTCACAAAATTTAATAAAATGTTTCTGTATGCTGATCACTCCTTCAATACGATGCGGACCGTAGGCGTACGCCAGATAGCATTAGGATGCTTATATAGCTGATACTCGTTAGCGCAAGGCTATCTGAGTATGAAAGATGCTTATACAAAAAACTTAGGTATGCCGCGTCAACAAACACTTTTAAGGTCAACAATAGCTGTTAAAATGTCAGGAATGTACGGTGATCGCCGGTTTATAACATTCTATTGACTCATCAAGCTTAGGATAACCAGCAGTAAGCTTTTAATGCCCGCCACCGGAAGTTTTCTTGACCCTATCGGTGCCATAACCGGCATGATTATCACATTCATTGATGAAGAAAATTTTCATCTGCTATAGTGAGCATGAGCAGATCTAAATTACGTGTTTTTACGCACTACCATTAATCCTAATCATGTTGGTTCGGAGAGCGGAGATCTACAGTGGCAGATAGCTTCCAATATTTCACAGACTTACTGAAGACCAGAGGAACCAGTAATGGTAAGCTAGTCATCACCATCGTATGATTTCGTGGATCTATCAGTCGTCTAACTAGCGTCGCAGACAGTCTCTGGAAAAAGTTTTCACATGCTGTATCGCCGCGTACTCAAATATATAGTTTTGTACATCATGATGAAATTTTGAAATGCTGGTCAGAGAGCAGGAACCTAGAGCGATGGCAGTTTTGAAGCATTTGACAAGCTCATTGATGCTCAGAGTAGTCAGTAATGCCCTTGCAACCATCATCACCGTAGGTTCCTGTGACAATATCGGTCATAAAACTGGCATCGCTATCATACTGATTTAGGAAAAAAGCTTTCATATACGATAATGCATCGCTGTAAATCATATACTTTTAAGGGGAATCTAGGCCACTTGCCCGCAGAACATATGCTCGCCGGACAGATCCCCGCAAGACACTTGCCCGTATGATGCT